GATGCTCGTTTTGCACAGCCTTGTTTTATTGATGTAAGTTCCTCATGTTTTTGGTTCTTTATTAATAAAATTTCTTTTGCTAATCAAAATATATATATATATATATAGATACACATACCAATTTGTTGAACAATAATGGTATGTAAATTGAGTAGAAGGACGGTCAAGCAAAGACAAAGAATACTGTTCAATCTGTTTGAGAGAAGACAAAAATGTATATATAAAAAAAAAAAATTAACTTTTTTACTCCAACACAGTTACACAGCAGAAACCTTTTGCTTGGAGTATAGAAAACGGCGGCAGCTAGGTAAGGTAAGGGTACCAAAGAATTAATGAAACCCTTACATGAAAAAAAATAAAAAATAGAAAATAAAAAAAAATAAAACGGTATCGTTTCGATTCACAGCAGGCATGACGGGGAGTACAACACAGCAGGGATAATGTTGGAGCTCAATTTAATGAGACAGAGCTTAAGAAATATTTAGTGCTATGTTATTGGCTTACATGATTAATGTTGTTAAGAGTTTTTTTTTTGTTTTAATTAAAAAAAAGGGATCCATTTTTTCAGTGTGGGAGAGATGGCTCGGTTCTTAAACTGTAAAACGCACGCACTTTAGGAAAATGGAAGCCGTCTCTTCTCATTATAAATTTGATAACATGAAAAATGTTTTTTATTTTTTATTTTTAGGTGAAATTATGAAGAAAAAAAAATCACAGATTTGAACTACTAACAAAATAAATTTTGATTTTTAAAATTTTTCAATTTAAATTTTAATCTTTTACTTTATTTTCAATCTAAACTCTTTACTTATTTTCATTAAGTAAAACTAATGAAAAAAATGTATCTTAATTATTAAACTTGGTATATAAAAAATGTTTAAAATACGATTTTTTCATTGAGTTTAATTATTAAAATATATATTTCAATCAATTTTACTTAAAGAGAAATAAGCAAATAGTTTGGATTAAAAAAAGAAAAAAAGAAAAAAAAAGCTGGGTTTGAACTGATAAAATAAAGAATCAAGAATTTAGTTTGTCACAGAACTTCAACCCCCAATTTTTTATTTTTAGTATAATTTTTCATATTTTTAATTTTAAAATTTGGGGTTTGAATCCAAAGATCTATTACTCCATGGTAGATTTTTTTTTTTTGATTAGCAAAATGAATTTTTATTAAAGAAAGAAAGAAGAAAGAAGGCCAATAAAGCTACATCAAACAGCAAGAAAAGCAAACTGCAGCAAGCATCATAGCATTACAAGCCCATCCCAACAAAGTTGGCAAGGTTCTAAATATCGACGGTTCGTACCGGAAAATGGCAGTGCCGAGTCGGATACTCACCAGTATACCGGCGAGAATGAATTTCGCGTCATATTTTTAATTTTAAATTTTGGGGTTTGAATCCAAAGATCTATTACTCCATGGTAGATTTTTTTTTTTTATTAGCAAAATGAATTTTTATTAAAGAAAGAAAGAAGAAAGAAGGCTAATAAGGCTACATCAAACAGCAAGAAAAGCAAACTGCAGCAAGCATCATAGCATTACAAGCCCATCCCAACAAAGTTGGCAAGGTTCTAAATATCGACGGTTCGTACCGGAAAATGGCAGTGCCGAGTCGGATACTCACCAGTATACCGGCGAGAATGAATTTCGCGTCCGTAGCGGCTGATTCTCAATACGTATCGGCCTGAATCCGATACGTAAGCGATTTGTTTCCGATACAGTCCGATACGGTCGATGCTCTGTTGAAGGTTTGTTCTCTCATGCTCTGTTTGTATATGTGATGCTCTGTTTTTTTTATTTTGGCTGAAGAAGTCATGGTTTTGCTTTTTAAGTGGTGTTCGGTTTGTTTATAATTTGTTTTTTTTTTGTTTTGTTTTTTTTTTTCTGTGGTTATTTTTTTAAATGCACATAATTTTTTATATATATTATTGAGGTTGAATAGAACTCATGAGCAATTTTTTTACATAATTTTAAATGCACATAAGTTCAGAAGCTGAATAGAACTCATAATTTTATAATTCAGGAGCAAGTTTTTTTTCTCAGAATTATATATATATATATATATATATTATCGGCATAAAATATAATTTTTTATATATAAAAATATCTTTTATATATATTTTAAATGCACATATGCTCAATATATATATTTTTTATATATATTATTTAAAGAGATTTAATTTGTCAAATTTTTTATTTCAGATTTTTTTTGTTATTTTAGATTTTTTAATCTGCCAAATCTTTTTATTTCAGATTATTTTTATATCATATTTTTTTTATAGAGGTTTAATCTCTCAGATTTTTTTAAAGAAGTTTACTTGTTAAGTAAAGATGTTTAATATTTTAGATTTTTTATTTTTATTGTAAATGCATTATTATCACTAACTAAATTAGAATTACAATATTTGTTAATTGAAAACTGTTGTTGTAGATAATTAAAAGTTATAATGGCGCACGAAGGTGGTTCTAGTGAAAGTTATTTTCATGTCCCTCTTTCTCTTATTAATTTGTTGTGCATGTGGAAGTATTTCATTGTTGAAAATAAGTAAAAAAAAAATATTTTCACATCAATTTTATATTAGAAGTTAACATATATGCTAAATAAAAGGTTGAGACTAAAATAAATACATATCATTTAGTTGAAAATGAGTCAAAAAAGTGCCTCTACATATCAAAATTTTGATGAAAATGTGATAAATTAATGTTAAAAGAGTCAAAAAAATGCATAAAATTGAGTTTTAGATGGATTGCTATTGATTTTTGAAATTTCACATCCGCGACGCCCGATACCCGATACGTACCGGTCGATACTACCGATACCGATACTCTGCAATTGAAACCGTTACGTTACCCGATACCGTGATTTAGAACTATAATTGGCACCGTCTTGGACATCCAATCATATGCAAGCACAGCGAGATTGGTGCTTGAGTTAGCTTGTTGTTTTCACTAAAGCCTTTACTGCTGGTCTGCGGGTGCTTTAGCTTGCCCCTGTTGTTTGCTTGAGTTAGCTTGCTGGTTTGCTATGCTGCTGGTCTGAAGTTGGGTTTTTGAATTTCACTCTTTTTGTTTTCCTCAGGTTCTGGTTTCTCTTTGTTGGCCTCTCACCAACTATTATTGATGTAATTTTCATACTTTGTATGTGTTTATCATCAATAAAGTCTTTACTTTGCCGATCAAAAAAAAAAAAAAAGAAAAAACGAAAACAACCCAAACAGATCTAACACACCCAGGAATTTCCTAAACTCCATCATATCGGATTAGATGCAGGTTAGACATAAAATCCTGCACTGTGTATGAGCAGTCCGAAGTATGCGCTTTTACCCATAAGCTAATTCTCAACTTAATCCAATCACAAATGTCACCTAGCAAAGGTTCCTTACCATTGAACACAGCTTCATTTATGAACCCCCAAGTGGACCACAGAATTGCCAAGGGCATTGTTCTCCATATTTTGTTCTCCAGCTTTCTCCATTTAAACCCACTCCACCAATGAAGCAAACCCTCCACCGTAGCAGGTACAATTCACTGCAGACCCTCCATGGTAGATTATTTAAATACCACTAGACTCGCAACACTTGTTACATGATCAATCGGGTATTAGTATTACTCACGTAATTTACTATTCTCTTCTTTTTGCTACCACATTATTTGTGGTGAAAAATAATATTTTTGCAACAGAATGATGCCGTGGCAAAAACAATTTAAACAGTGATTAGGAGAGAACTTGGTCCTTTCAATTTGAATGAATTAATATAACTCTCCTACCATTTGAGTACCAAGAAAGGGAAAAAACAAAAAAATGATTAATTACAAAACGTGGGTGGACTATTAGAAAGGGAAAAAACAAAAAAATGATTAATTACAAAACGTGGGTGGACTATTTCATATGAACTATATAAATAATCCTAACACTAGATGTTCGAAGGTTTGAAAATCCATAAAAGACGATAATTGTATATTTAAAAATATATTATTTATTTTTTTGACAATGAATATAATAAATTGAATAGAATATAATTATCAGATTTATTTATTTATTACTTTTTTTTTGTTAAAAAATGAATGATTTGAATTCCAGTCCAAATTATGGATGAGAAGGAATCTACCTCCTTATCCAAAATATTCATAAAATTAACACCTTGTTTGATTTTAACTTTCTAAAAATTGAGTTTTTTTATTTTTCTTTTGTGATTTTTATTTTTAGTGACTATTTTTAAAATTTTAAGCAATCTTTTTTTAACTTTTTAGATGCACTTTATTTAGATGTATCTAAAAAGTAAAATATTTGTAAAAAAATATTTTAAAAAATCATTAAATATACAAGAATATGAAAATAAACTGATTTTTCATATTTTTGGTATTTAGTGAATTTTTAAAAAAAATTTCACAAATATTATACTTTTTAAGTGTATTTATGTTAGGTGTATCTGAAAATTAAAATAATTGTTTAAAATGTTAAAAAAATTTAATAAAAACAAAAAAAATAGAAAAAATAAAAAAATTCGATTTTCTAAAACGTGAATTGAGAAAATTGAAATTAAACTGCTAAACTCTACATCTAACTTCTAAACAATTTTCTAATTCAATTATCATTCGTTAAATCGTCTAAAAATTTAGATGTACCGATTGCAAACACAGCGTTTGCACCCAATCCTAGTATGTAATAATCCCCATGGAAATGTATTTCCAGGCTTTATTCAGACATCTGTAATAGAAAATGACACTGCACTGCAATCTTTTACCACTATATCACTGAAACCCTAATCTCTCTCTCCTTTTATTTTGTTATTATTCTTTTTTTCTTCCAATTTACAAGAAGCTTTCCATGACCTCCATTTTTATGGCCATTTCAACTTCTTCAGTGTCACACACAAATGAAATAATCAAACCATGTATAACAAAACAAAATATCAAAAAATGGCCAATTTTTTTTTTTTTTTTTTAGTTTAGTAGTACTACTTTTATGACTTTGGTTTGTAAACAATGGATGCAAGCACAAATTACAAATAACTCACAATTTTTATTTTCTTGCTGTCAAGACTGTCATGGACTGCAACCTAACCGGAGCTCTAGGTCAAGCTCTTCAATGGCGGAGCTGTTGTTATTTTGGTTATTATCGTTGTCGATGGATGCTGAATGTTCAGTGTTGCTAGAGTGACAGAGAGAGGAATTGATGCTCGGCGATGTCACCGGAAAATTAGTGGATGCCGGGCAAGGTGGCATCGTTGGATACGGCGTAGGAGCGTAAACCCCATTAGGGTTAGGGTTTGGTAATGAGTAGAAAAGACATAGTCCACCATTGGCAACCAATTCTTGAGTTGGGATTATGAGAGTGGAGGAGGAAGCGATGGAAGAGGAGGTGATGAGACCATTCAAACCGGTTGGCGCTTGGTGGAGCCTGGCCCTGTCGCGGCGGTGCACGTTCATGTGACCGCCTAGGGCTTGGGCGGACCGAAACTCCCTCCTACAAAAGGTGCATGTGTAAGACCGGGGAGGCCAAGTCGTGCCCATGGCATGATTGGTGTCCTCTGCAAAGGCTCTAACCTCCCACGAATCGTCATCGATGTCTTCTTGGGTGTTTTGCTTAGGGTTCCACATCCACGAGCCGGTGGCGGAGCTAGGGTTTTGTGGTGGTTGATGGTGTTGAGATTGTGTAGATTGAGCCAGTTTTTGGAGGTGGGTTAGGGAGAGAAGGCCAAGCTCAGCACCCATTGTACTAGTAATGTAACATTTAAGATATGGGTTGTGATAAAATTTTAAACATGATGTGGAAATTAATGAAATGGTGAAGCGGGTTAAATAGGGGGATGGGTTACAGTGGAAATGGAGACAAAAAGAGAAAACCCAGCACCGAGCATATCACCAAAATTTGATGCAAGCAGTTGGATTTTAGTACTGTAGAGAGAGAGAGAGAATATAATAACATGGCCACCCATCAAGTTATCTAGTGTATAGAGACAATAATTTCTTACATTGGCATCAACGCCCCATATGTTTAGTATGTACTGATCGAATACCTCATGCGATCTTTTGCTTCATCTAGGGAGAAAATTATGAATGCATAACATTTTAAAGGAAGAAATGATATAGAATAATTGGATGACAGTTGAATAAAAATTTAAATATGGGTCACGCTAATAACAATTTATTGGGCTGTCAATTATTTTATAAAACTGATGTTTTTATTTATTTTTTATTGTTTGTAAATACAGATACTAATATATAATATTAATAATATTACAAAATAACTCAATTAGTTATATAGGTTATCTATTGGCTATTGATTGTGCTACAAATATAAATAATAAAATAATAGAAAAGAGGCATGTGTCATGTTTTGAATATCCATAGTAATAGCTGGAGTGTACAGAGTAATTACAAAAAAAAGTAAAATTTTTAAAGTTACCTTTGTGTTTTTTAACATATTTTTCAACAATTTTTGTACGTATGTCATACAGACATCTATCACTTTATCGGCTGTCACTAGCATTTTCCTATAAGAAAGAAAGATTAACAGAAGATAGGAAATACAAATTTCTTTGAGAAATGATAATGTCAATGATTTCAGAATCACTGGAAGATAGTGAAATGTTGCTTGAATTTAGACATATTTGGGTATTGCAAAGGAAGTTTCCTGCTACCAGTTTTTGGCATATGCCTTTGTCATAGTACATGACTTTCATATTATATAACATTCATACTTCTCTCCTTCAGTTGTTTCGCCAAAAAAAAATTAGGTTAATATCTTTTTAAGATTTAAGGCGGTTTGTACAAAATTCTTTCTAAAGTTCTTGCATCCAGGCTCAAAAAGGTCATGCTCATGATCATTGGTGACACACAGTCAGCCTTTTTGGGTGGTAGGAATATTCTTGATGGTGTGTTGATTGCTAACGAAGTTGTGGATGGTTGGGTTAAATCTAAAAAGTCAGGGCTGCTGCTAAAAATAGATTTTGAAAAGGCATTTGATTCTATCAATTGGAACTTCCTCTTTTCTATGCTTTTTGTACGTATGTCATACAGACATCTATCACTTTATCGGCTGTCACTAGCATTTTCCTATAAGAAAGAAAGATTAACAGAAGATAGGAAATACAAATTTCTTTGAGAAATGATAATGTCAATGATTTCAGAATCACTGGAAGATAGTGAAATGTTGCTTGAATTTAGACATATTTGGGTATTGCAAAGGAAGTTTCCTGCTACCAGTTTTTGGCATATGCCTTTGTCATAGTACATGACTTTCATATTATATAACATTCATACTTCTCTCCTTCAGTTGTTTCGCCAAAAAAAAATTAGGTTAATATCTTTTTAAGATTTAAGGCGGTTTGTACAAAATTCTTTCTAAAGTTCTTGCATCCAGGCTCAAAAAGGTCATGCTCATGATCTTTGGTGACACACAGTCAGCCTTTTTGGATGATAGGAATATTCTTAATGGTGTGTTGATTGCTAACGAAGTTGTGGATGGTTGGGTTAAATCTAAAAAGTCAGGGCTGCTGCTAAAAATAGCTTTTGAAAAGGCATTTGATTCTATCAATTGGAACTTCCTCTTTTCTGTGCTAAAAAACTTTGGATTTGGTTCCAAATGGATTTCTTGGATTAAGGAGTGTGTCTCTGCTACAAGGATCTCAATACTTGTGAATGACTCACCAACCAAGGAGTTTAGCCCCCAGAAAGGCCTCAGGCAAGGCGATTCCTTATCCCTATTCCTTTTTAATTTGGTTGTAGAAGCACTAAACATTCTTCTTTAGAGAGCTAGGGACTTGAATTTGCTAAAAGGGGTACTTATAGGCAACAACCAAGTGCAACCATCCCATCTCCAATTCGCAGATGACTCTCTTCTATTCTGTGAAGCCAAGCTACCAGAAGTTGTGAGCTTAAAAAGGATTCTCAGGTCTTTTGAAGTAGCATCTGGTCTCAAAATCAATTACCACAAAAGTGTGGTTTGTCGGATTGGTGTTCCCGATTCTATTCTGGTTGAGTATGCTTCTCTGTTAAATTGCAAGACCCAAAACTTACCTCTAAAGTATCTAGGTCTGCCATTGGGTGCTAATCCAAGGAGGAAAAGGTTTTGGAAACCAGTTATAGATAAGTTCAGATTGCGGCTTGCTGGCTAGAAAAGGAGCCTTCTCTCATTTGCAGGGAGGTTGATCTTAGTGAAAGTAGTGCTATCAAGTCTACTAGTGTTTTTCTTATCTCTGTTCAGGCTGCCTGAAGGAATAGCTAAGGAGTTAGACAAAATACAGGCTACTTTCCTATGGGGTGGTTTAGATTTAAGGAGGAAAATCCATCTCGTGAAATGGACAGAGGTCACAAAAAGCTTAAAACAAGGTGGACTAGGTGTTCGAAGGCTTAGGGATGTGAATGTGTGTTTAGTTCTGAAGTGGTGGTGGGGGTTTGCATCTAAACATGATTCATTATGGAAGAGGCTTATTTGCAGCAAGTACAATTTTCAAGGTGGGGCCTGGCTACCTAACCTTAGCTCTAGCACCACCTATTCTAGAATCTGGGGTGGTATCATAGCTACTGTTGAACATGAGCAGTCTCTTATGGAATTCTTTGTTAGTAATCTGCAGCTCAAAGTAGGGAATGGTTGTAGAATTAGGTTCTGTACTGATCAATGGTGTGGAGCCTTATGTCTTAAAAAAGAATTTCCAAGGCTATTCCAACTATTGAATGACAAGGAAGGTTTACTCAAACAGTTTGTGGATGCCTCCTCTAATAATTGGTTGTTTTCCTTTAGAAGGTCTCTATTCGATTGGGAGAAAGAGAAACTTCTTAGATTAATAGGTATCATTGCACCAACACTTGCACTCAATCTGTTGGTCCAAGATAGTGCTTCATGGTTAGCAGTAAAGCCCAGGCAATCTCTTGTAGCTATTCTCTACAATCAAACTAATCTCACTTATGGTGGTAATGTCAGCTTCTATAGTTTGGTCTGGCTAAAATATCTCCCTCCCAAAGTGTAGTTCTTTGGTTGGCTCGCTTTGAAACAAAAGGTCAAAACTTCTATGCTCTTGCAACAGATTGGTGTGCTGGATAGGGCTACATTTACTCTATGTATTTTTTGCAAATCACAACAGGAAACTATGGATCATGTGCTTCTCCACTGCCCTCTGGTGTGGTGAGTATGGACTGGGTTACTATAGTGACGGGGGACTCTGTGGGTGACTCCAGGCTCTGTATATGGAGTGCTGCAATGGTGGGCAGGTCATCTCTGTAGGAAAAATGAACAGAGAATTTGGTGAGCATTACCATTAGTCACCCTTTGGTCATTATGGAAGCTCAGAAATGAACATCTATTTCAAGATTCACAACAAGACATACAGGAGTTGCAGGAGCTTATAATCATAAGGTTAGCTATTTGGCTTAAGGCCTCTTCCAAGGACCTTTCATTCTCCATAAATGATTTCCTCTACAATATCTCGGGCATTAGGAAGTGTATCTGTTGATGGGTGTGATTTTGCTGTACTCAGTTTCTCTGATGGGTGTATCTGTTGATGGGTGTGATTTTAATGGGTCATTATCTGTTTTTCTGATGCTTTACTCAGTAGTGGGATTGGTCTGTCGCTAGTGGTGTTTGTTTGGATTACTCAGCAGTGGGTTTCTGTTATGTTAATAGTGGAGTTGGACTCAGTTCTGTATCTTTTTTGATTTACTCACCAGTAGGATTCTGTTATGTTAACAGTGGAGTTGGACTAAATTCTGTATTTTTTCTGTGCATATCTTGCTCTATCTTGAGGATTTTTTGTTCAGTGAGGTTTGCTTTTCCTTTGTTGAGGACTGCTGCTGGTTCTGAGGTCTGCCGATGTTTTGTTGAGTTTCTGAGGACTGCTGTTCCTCATCTTTCTTTGCTTTTCCTCTGTTTTCTTGTTATTTAGTTTGTCTGATATTTTTCTTCTCTGTTGGTTTCTCACCAACTAGGAAGTAGGAGTTTTGTTCTAGCTCTTAGCTCTTCTTTATTGATGTATTTTTCATACTCCGTATGTTTTCATCAATAAAGCTCACTTTTTGCCGTTCAAAAAAAAAAAAAAATTCAGTTGTAAGACTTTGAGGAGTATTTTTGGTAATTGCAAATTCATGTCATACAAATGACCTCTCCAAAAATTAGGTTAAGGTTATATACGTATTGCCTTTTCTAAACTCTGTTTTAGCAAAAAATTTCATGCATTAGGTTGCCCTTGTTTTACGTTTTTATTACTTCATTCTGGCTCTTCTTTTTTTTTTTAATAGATATACGACATTGTGAAATTAAGGGATATGTATTATTAATATGGTAGGATTGGACTAGTTTACACCCATAGATGAAATAATAATTAAGTTACATTGTCAATATATAAATTATAATAAGCTGACTCTCTTAATACAATCTTTTATTACGAAAGCTCTCAAAAGATAACCAAACATTGAAGTTTTGAAATTGTACGAGCAAGAAATAATCTTCTCGTATAATCCTGTTGATCAATTCTGCAATCCTCCAAACGTCGCCGCTTTACTCCCTAAAAACACAAATGTGAGCTAGCCGGCGGGTGTGCGCCGGATACCTCTCCGATGCCTAAGTCAGCAAAATAGACAAATAGACAAAAGCTCTGTGTATTCGGGAATCAAAGTTGTGTTATCTCTCCATAGGTGATGTTGTGAACTTTTATATGTTCCGTGTGGCACAATCCAAGTAGGACTCTTACTCCTCTATGTAGAGTCTTCCTAGGAATCACCTTCCTGAAAGATAATGCTTATCCTTCAACACCCCCCTCACTGCTTAAACCAAGTGAGATGGTTTTACCACGGTTGGATGTCAATACGACCGAGATAACATGGCCATGCTAAAGCCGTAGACTAAACCGAGCTCCTACTTAGCTTGGCTCTTCATTTTACTGCGTGTAC